ACTTTAATTTTTTTTTTTTTTTTTTTTTTTTTAATTTTTTTAAAAGCCAAGACACTGCCTTATTATTGCATTTTTGCAAATTCTTCTATTTTATTTGTATTATGAAGTCATTGAATTTTTTGTTAAATGTTTAATATGTTCATAAAGAAATAAAGTACATGTATTCTTCAAATTTTTTTCAAATATTTTCAATGTATTATTTTATTATTTACACTTTATTATTTTCAAATACCTCGCTCTTTTTCATCACGGAAGAACGGGAGTCCAGAATATGTTACCTTATCATTATATATTACGTATATACATGTATTCAGAAAATTTCCAAAAAAATTTTCCATTATTTTTTCCATGACTCCCCACGTCCCCTCAGTATTTTTATGCTAAGTGTTATGGATAAAGATATGCTGAAAATACTAGCAGAATTAACGCAAAAGGCTAACTTAAGCATGTAATGGTTTATATACTCAAAAGTTACAGATACTAATATTCATACATGATTGAAAGAGAACTTTGTTTTATGCTCATTACAGTTAAAATGCACAGGTGTACTAGGCACATAACGTTTTGGTTTCGTATTTATGTAAAACTTTATTTATTACAGTTAACAATGGCGCCTTATATTACATTAATTCGATACGTGTACAGTATACATTATGTGTGTACTTTCAATTATTTTATGTAATATGTATATTTGGCAAATATGTATAATCAAACTGCCTATTTTTGAATTGGATTTATGGTTTCGAATAAGTAAAATATATTTTTTACAAAATTTGTCATTTATTAAAAATACTTAGAAAAAAAATGTCATCGAAAACATGTAAATGAGAAATTTACAAGTTATTACACTTCTTTGGAATTCTTAAAACGGTGCCGTAACGCTTTTCGAACATGTATGTGAAAACAGTGAGAAACGATTGGGCACAGAAAGATTGCTTTGGCTCGATTTTCATCATACTTATAAAATCATCGATGAATTTTGTAATTGTTCCTATACTGAATCTATGGTCTCGTTTGCGGATTTTTTCCACTATCATGGAATGTTTCTTTAGAAGATTTAACCCTGCTATAGTCGGTGGTATCTCATCTCTCTGGAATAAAAACCAATTCTTACAAATTATTTGTTAAAAAATTTTCCAAAATTGTGTACCAAGAACTTACGTGATCAATGATTTTTTGTTTTAGATTGTTAAGGGTATCCCAATCTTCTTCACACGCGATACATTCACAAGTAAGCTCGTACATGTCTTTTAAGAACTCTTGTCTTATTTTTTTATGCTCCTTAATGTAACTACAATAATAATTGGTAAAAAACTAAAAACAATTAAATTAATCGATTAGAATTAAATCAACGTCAAGAAGAAATTTTCGTGTGCATAATTCAATTGTACTGTACCTGTTCACCTCGAGTTATCGGTCGCACAGCATAATAAAATACCCTCCCATCATTTGAATAAAATTTACTGACGTTACTATCACAACTGTGATTAAATAAGCTAGAAATGGGAGAAAAGGCCATTCCTCTTGGGCAACATAAATCAAATTTACACAAGTGCATACACTTTCCCTTTCTACAGGTCAACCCCGGTTCAACTACCTAATGAGCGAAAAAAAAGCATTCAAGTTCAAACATCGGCACATAAACCATGAATTGAAAACTTTTCATATTTTTACTCACACTAAAAGCATTGATTGAAAAAATGGTTATAAGCTTTAAAAGGGTCGTGGCAATGAAAATGGCGTTTTCATTTTTTTTCAGTTCCATATTTCTGTCAAGGGCCAGTTCATTTTGACAGAAACTTTTGTTCGAGCTTATATTTAACAAAGCATTTACAGCGCACTGTACATACGATGGAACAATAATTTTTGGACAACAAAAACTAAACAAATTCCGAAAACCGTGAGTAAAAAACTTTTCAATATCCAAATAGTTTTTTGTCTTCTTATCTGAAATATTAACAACTTTTATGTACAATAATCACTCACAGGATCAAAATTAATGACGAACGAAAGAATACTTTACCTGATGTTTTTAATGCATCATTAATCATGATTTTTAAAGTATCGATACTTCCAGCTTCTTTGTAAGCCATAATAAAAGTTCTAATGCTCAGCTGTATAAGGCTTTCCTCGTAACCATAAGCAGCTATGCTTGTTTCACACTCAACATCATGATATTGTTCCCAAGCCTCTTCTTTACACTCTTGACTACAGTACATTGCATAGGCACATTTGTCGCACGGTATGGTTGCCCAGAAGATGGCCAAACAGTGATTACAGTAGGCAAAGTTTTTCTTGCCATTGGAGCTTGTAACGAAAAATTTTTCTTCGCAAATGTGATTCCCAGGCGAGATGTCGTACGTAGCCACCAAGTGCCGTCCATATTCTTCGCTGTACTTAATTTCGGCCTCCTCTTCCACGTAATAGTAGTCATTGTAATCTATCTCTTTTTTACCTTTATAATCCGAATGATTCAACTCCAAAAGTTTCTCGGCTTTCCTCACTTTATACAACAATTCCTTCTTAACTGCCACATCCCTGATCTTGTTGAGATAATACTTGGCTCTCTCACATGAATTCCTCTGGTTATCTGTGAGAAGAGTAAAAAAGTATAAAAACGCAGCTCTACTAGCTAACGCAATGTAAGAAGAAAAAAAACACCTACCCTCTTTCAAAGCAACCTGGCACTCGGTCTTCCTGCACAGCAGCTTGACCTTTAGATCATAAGACTTTGTGACCGCAAGCGCAGAGTCGATATCAAGGAGGCATTCTTCATATTTTTTCAAATGTATCAATAATGCGGATCTGTTTGCATAACTCAGAGCCGATTCGTTGGATTTTGGGGGTGCGTATGCAATGCCAAAGGTGTAATTCTTCCAGGCCTGCAAGTGAATCTTGCCGCTGTGTTTTTTTTGCCTGAATACTCGATTACCTGCCTCGCGGTAGGCGTTAGATTTTTGCTCGCTTTTTTGGAAATCCGTGACCCACTTTAACGGCTTCGGGGACAAGGTGTCCAGGTTCATGTTCTTCAACGTGTTCAACTCATCGACGATCAGCTTCCTCTCGCGTTCCATCCTTCGAGCCTTTTAAAATGAAACTGATGAGACTATAAACTTCACAGAAAAAAAAGATAATTAAATTCAAGGAAAATATCCTACGATGTATATAAATGGGTACTTTTTTGTGGTTCACTCGTTTTCGCTATTCAAGTGCTGCAACTAATTATCAACTTGCACACACTCTTAATTTAAATTTGTTTACTCAACACCTTAAAATAAAAACACCTGTATACTTACCAATCACACACACGCGGTTTCGTAGATGTTTGTTTCGATTTTCGATACGCCCCCACAAGTGTTTTTATAAATGAGTAACGAAAACAAACAAAGTAACCTCTAAATGCAGTACAGGATAAAAACCTTTTACAATAAGTTGAAAACTTTAATGATGATTACAATCGTAATTGACTGAGATTGGTGCTGATGATATTTAACGGAATTCCATTTAGAAATATTTAATATGATGTGCCAGCATATTTTGGTTCCTACTGCACGTACCTATTCAGATTTTCAGAACGTCTCTTTCCATCTGTGATTCTGTGCATGTAAATTCAAAAAATATATACTTAACCCGTCGGAGCGCCGGAAACGTTCGACGGTTCGATCCGAGCAAATTCAAAGTGAACAATTGCAATACTAATACTGCTCCAGCGCCAACATTAAATTAAATAAAAAAATAAGAGTATTTTACAAACAGTAAACAGTAGATTGGCATAAAAAAATTCCATAAATCAAACTAACATTTACAAATTAGTCATTGGTGATGCGTGTTTGAAAAGAAGTAGCATTAAGTGAATTGTATAAAATTTAAAAAATTCAAGGAACAAAAAATCAAACAGCTGTTGTTAAATACATGTCTTTTATTTTTTAGTACTTTAGTTTTGCACATTTGTACATTGTGATAAATCAATCGACGTAAGTCGTTTTACAAACAGTATAGAAAAATCATACGATTTTTTTACAGATATCCAATTACGTTAGTTTATATAAAAATATAAAAAAATATCAAACGAAACTTTTTCAATCCATAATATTATAGATATTATCCAAAACCTTGCTTAAGCAAATCATCAGTTCTCCCATAATGACGGATGGTACCGTCTCGTCGTCCAGCTTTACAGCACTCCTCATAGCTTCCGACAGTTGCGCAACTGTCCTTTGACTGACCCTTGTGCCCTTATGGCAACATAGGATAGGTCGTACCAGAGGTGTCAATTTATGAAACAGTTCAATGTCACGTGGGACAAAATAGTTCCGACAAAAGAGATCAGTATTTTTCTGAAATCAAAGAAATAAAGTCAAAGCTTGTTTATTTTTAAGTTAAACAACACAAATATTATGAAAATAATATCCTTACCACAGGCATTTCATACATTTCCTGCAAACTAGGCCAGTTACACAAACAAGCCTGACACTGGCAATTAAATTTCATGTGTTTTTTTATCGATTTTTTCCTATCTTCCTGCTCTTGTTCCAAAAAATTTTTATCATATGCCACAAGCAACTAAACACATTGAGATTATTATCAACATGTGAAAATATTATTCATCATCAGCTCTAACTTACCAGAGATCCTGCGTTTATCGGTCTCAACGCAAACATTATCAAACTCATGTGATTTGTTATGAGAATCTTTGTATTTGGATAGCAACTGTGCTTCAAAAGACAGGACAGTGGAGCGAGACATGCTCCTTTACATTTTTCTATATTTACACAATTCTGCGTATCACTGAACGCCCTTGTGGGATTGTAGAGCTAATCAAATATTTGTAAATATATTTAGTATGAAAAGAAAAAAAAAATAATTAATGTGCCATTTCATTGTACTTACAAAACGAGCACTGGAAGCAATTTTTTGCCGTAGCTTCAACAAAACTTTTCCAAAAAACAAAACGTCCGGATTTTCCGCCATATCCGTAGCGCACTTGAATTTAACATTTTCACCAAAAAATTTGGTTGCTTTGGCTAGAATGATCAACATTTTTTCACAATTCCTGACATCGACGCTTTTTTCGGTGATTTTCTGCACGGCGACGCTCATCGTGAAAATACTCTTAAAACCAGTAGAGTAGTGTAAAGCATTTTCATCGTTATTGGGATCGGCCTCGCAGTACTCTAAAACAACAAGTACATTTCACAAATAGCACTTACAAAGCTTAACTGTTGTACAGATGACAATAAATCCTTACTCATGTTTATGTCCAGTGTTGTAACTTCGTCCTTCAATTTCTGCAGCCCACCAAACTCCTTGATTCCCTGCAACAAACACCTCAGGGCCAAAAAATCGGGATGATTGAAAGTGCAGCTGATTTTCTTGCAATGCGAAGCTACGATGCACTCGATGTTGTGATATTCGTCCCAGGCCTTTTGTTTGCACAACTCTGAGCAGTACATGCTCCAGTTGCAGTAATCGCATGGTATGTTGGTCCAAGATTTAGCATAGCAATAGTCGCAGTTGAAGTGCGAGTAGTTGATGTCGAACCTGGCCAACTCGGGCGGTTCTATGTATATTATATCACCTGGAGCAAAGTCCCTCATGGAGTACAGCAACTTTTCTGAATCGCGAAACATTATGTTGACGTCGTCGTAGTAAGAATCTTTCTTTCGGCGATGGTAAATCTGCACGTGCTCGTGTACCTTTTGCTTCTTGGTGCCGATGCTTGCTGGCTCGTCAAGCTTAGCCTTTTTCATGTGCAACACTTTCATTGCCTTACTCGATAGGCTCACGGTAGATTGACTCGGCGTCTCCTTCGACTCCTCCATCAGTTGTTTACCTTCGCGGTACAAACTTTCGCACTCCAGATGATTACCAGAGCCATTGTTCCCCAAGGCTGCCTTGCATTCCATTCTTCTGAAAACCAGTTCAATTTTATTTTCATGGAAAGCCAAGGCTCGATCGATGTCGGCAAGACACTCCACGTACTTTTTCATGCGAAATAATAAGCCCGATCTGCTTCTGTAGGCATTAGCAAGTTCCTTAGAATTGAGCGGAGCGCAAGCTATGCTTTTGGTAAACAGCGCAAAACACTTTTCCAACTTTTCGTCGTTTAAATTGGCTCCCTTTAATATTTCCTCGCCGGCATTCAACGCTGCGATTGAAGCGGCCTTGTCCTTGCCAACCTTAACAGCCAGATTCTTTACAAAAAACGCCTTGGCTCTGCAAGACCTCAACCCCTTGACCAACAGCTTGTCCAAATCATCGGTCCCAAAACCTTGCTTGTTGTAATCATCTTGAAAATCTTTGATCCTTTCGATATTTTTTCTTCTCACCAGGTTCATGTCATCGTGGAATTTCACTGGCACCAGATCTTCCATCTGCAGTTGTGTAAACGTCAATTGTGGCAGTTGAAACTTGATGCAATACTCGTGTACTGCCTTGGATAGAACGTTTTCCCACAAACCCATCCTACTCGGATAAGCCCTGCCGATCTCATCAAAGATAAACTTTATCTGCCGACTTAATATCACGTCAGTGATGTCTCCTGCGTTGGCCACCTCGTCACACCAAACGTCTCTTTTCGGTTCTTCGTTCATTTTTTCGTGATACCTCTGAATCCTGTACTTCTGCTCGTTTTGCATCCTGAACCAGTCACCGTGAAACTTGGTAGGCAGCAAATTTTCCTGCTGCAAGGTCGAAAAGTGCATCGGTTGCAGGTCGAACTTCTCGCAAAACAGCATACACGCCCGTTCCGTCGCCTCGTCCCACAGTGAGATGTTCTCCGGGGTGACTTCCTCGATCTGGTTGTACAAGAATTCCAACTGCTGAACCTGCAGCGCTTCATCGTTGTGTACATCGGCGGCGGCCTCGAGCTCCTTGTCCCAGTCTTCCTTGTCCGAATTGGCTTTGTTGTTGTCTAGAATGGTGAATTTGGTACAATAATTTTTAATGTCGAGTTCTTCGTGACTCCTGGAGTTAAGCTTTAGATCGGGACACCCAAAGCGTCTATGGGATTCTCTGTGATCTCTGATGCTCATGACGTCTTGGGCAGGTAACAACTGATGGCGTACTACTTCACTTGTGGAATCTGGGTTGAAGAAGGATTTCTCGTAAGGCTCGCCCAACGTTGCTCTGGCAGACGACTGGATTGATCCTCTCTGCCACTCTTGCTCGGAATAACAATTTAATTGGAAACATTTCTCTTGCTCACCCAGAGTCCCCAGAGAACAAGCAGTGGTGGTGGTGAACGACGAGTTACCGGTACTGCAGTCTTCTTCACCGGTGCCGCCTTTTTCTTTCATATTGGCTACCGGTGCAAACTGTTTGCGGAATGCACTAAATATCTGACTGATCTCCGACAGTAGTGTAGTCAATGAAGAAAGCATTGCACAACAGAGATTTGATTTGCAGTTGCAAAATGGAGACTGATGGTGACTATGGAATTTTGATCTGTCCAACCCAAGACTCTTTTATAGAACAGTACCCCACGGTTCCCACGCCATAGTTCCACAATAGGATGTGGGATGTGGTACAGATCGAAGTTCTACTATACATGTACAGCTTGACGTATAGCTGGCACGCGATTGGTCGGTCACGAATCAGTTGATCAAACGAGCGAATTAGCGTTCAACAAAAGGGCATGAGATGAGTAACGTTTGGCGCGACGACTGAATAACTGATATACTTATATATATGTTTGATTGATATTCTCCCTCGCGAGTTTTTCGTCGTGAAGTATCTGTAGGTAATCGGGGAGCCAGGGGTTTTCATTTCGTTGTTGGATGGAATTTAACGAAATCTCGCAAAAACTATAGATTGTTGTCCATATAATGATCCTTTAGAAAAATTAGAAAGAATCTGGTCAGGAAGACAATTTTTTTTTGTTGCAAAATAACTTTACAAACCGATTTTTTTTTTTCAGTTATCTCACAATATCTCGGAAATGAAGCATATTATCGAAAAAAGTTAAATACAAAAGTTGTTTAACTATTGACTTTACGTAATGATCAATTTTTTTCAAGAGCTAAAAATTGTTTATTCTTACCGAAAACATTCGGTAAAGTTGTAAAAAATTAACAACAAAGAGATATGAAAAAATCAGGGAAGAATCATTTTTTATTGTTGATATTTGGATATTAGATGGGTAACAGTATTGTTAACAAAATGTACCAGGTCCGCTTTTTCAAAAACAATATGGCGATTTACTGCAAAATTGTTAATTTGAAAATTTAGAACGCTGTAAATTCTGTCACAGAAATCGGATTTTGAAAAAACCAATTGGAATCGGTAGGTGACAACATTATCTATTATTAAACCGGTTTTCAACATTTTCTAACTATTATTTTTTTTCTTTTTGTTAACAAAAAATCACTTATTGTGGCTCGTAAATTCGTGAATTTGCAAGATAGAGCTTTGAAATGAAATGCATTCGATGACACCTATTTTTAAATTAATTAAAAAAAAAAAAAGATTCATTATGCATGCCCAACAAAAGCCGAGATTGCTCAGTTTGGTCAGACACAGGTGGAATTTTTTCAAAATCGGTTTTCCCGGGTGTGCACCCATCTTAAATATTGTTCTATAATTAGGTACATACACTTGGAGCCTGTAATGTCTTTCTAAGATAGCACTTTTAGTATAAAGTGTTAAGCTCATAATTTCAATCCTTTTAAATTGCAACGGAAAATAAAACGTTGTTCCTTTCTTACCGAATATTTTCATATGATCACGCATTGGCCGCTGAACCATGGATTCTATACGTCAAAGAAAAAAAAAAGAAAAAAAAAGTAACAACTAATCTCTTGTAGTCAGGTAAATAAAAAATATAAATATCGAAATTAATAATTTGAGACTTTTTAACTTGATTTCATCCTTAAATAAGTCGTCATGCATGTATCAACGTATAGTATACAGTATTTCACTAAAATAGTTTTATTGCAGCAAAAAGCTATTGTTGTGCAGATCATGGGGTAGCAGTCGATAATCTTTTGGCGGCTAACTCTATCAACAGTTCGAAATATATATGTATATATACACACAGGCATGTAAACCATAATTTACATTTTACAATCATACGAATGAATTCAGGGATGAAAAGGACTGTAGAGTATAAAATTTGTAGCCCACAGTTCCTTGAAGTTAAATACCCGGTACAGTCAGCTGTCATATAATTAAAAATGTTCCAGATTCATGCAAGAGAATTTTTCCCGAAATGATCGATCAAATTGAGAAAATCGGAAAAATTTGTAAGAATCACCGAAATTACAGTTAATTGTCTACGTTTAAAAAGTCGAGCCAAACAAGAGTCATCGCGCTACTTCGTCGGGTGGAATAGCAATCGAGGACAAAACTGCCCTTGTGAGTTATCAATAGGCTCTCCGACCCTTTTTACACGGGCAGGTAGTTCCTGCATAATACATTCATCAGCGCGTGAAAAAACAAGGACTCTCTTGACACCTGACACATTTAAGCCCTCGGCACCCCCGTATACCCAATGATAATCTATACTTTCGTGTTTGAATTACAATTCGTTAGCTCACCCAAGGAGAACAGCTATCGAGAAATTACCCACTTTTACCAAACAAACATTTTTCACTGCATGACTTCAGTAGAGGTGGTGGTGATTCAAAACTCAAATTAATTATGCACAACGGAAAAAAGGGGATACTGATAAAGGCCTCTCCATTCGTATGCGATACAAATCATTTTGTGAACAAGTGAAATCAAAGCGTTAGTTTTTCCTCATTTTTGAGTCTGGATTGAAGTTAAAAACAGAGCTGTTGGCATTTTAAAAAGAAAAAAAAAAACTAGCTCTCGGTTTTGTTCTACTACCCATCAACAGCAAATCAAGAGAAAATCCACATAAGTAAATATGGGTCAAAGTAGAAATGCGCAACATCCTTCCATCCTATCGAGGAGCACAACAAATATTTTTTAGAGAGACGAAAAATACCTACGCGCATTTTAATAGAGAAAGAACTTCTCTGGTTTTTTTAACTATCGTTTTCTAAGCATTGCAAAACAAAAAAGCAACGAACCGTAAGTTAATCCAGTAAAACTGTGGGAAAATTTAACAGGATGAGCTATTAAAAAAAAAAAGGTTCGACAGAACAATCTGGTCTTGCATTTTTAATACTACAAATCAATAAGCCTAAAGGAAAAAAAAAAACCATGCGGTCTATTAACCAAAGGCTGTACCTATATGTAGAAAAAACTCTTTCCCAGTACAAGCTTTTTTTTCTTGAAGTGTCTTATGTGTCTAGCAAATTTTTTCGTTCTGACGGTTTTCCCAGCCAAACATATCAGATAGTAGAAAAATTTCACCAATCATAGGTGTGCTATCAAAAATTGTCAATCAGTAAGGATGTGTGTATGTATGTGTATTTTAACTGTAAAGTTTCATCGATCAACTTCTCTTTCTTTCTTTCGGTGGTTTTTAGCTCGTCTGCGGTGGATTTGTTTTTTTATTTTCTAGCAGCATCCATATAAAATATTATGGCAAAAGAAAAATACAAACAAAATTGAGAAATAGTGTTGAAACATTTTGTAAACTATTATACTGTTACTAAATAATAAAAAATAAATTGATTGTATTCGATGTTTTACAATTTTATTTTTTTTAATTATTTGAAACTAGTTACGTGTAGTATATACACCTACTCCTGTCATGTCGACTTAATACGTCATGAAAAAAGAGATTAGTTATCACTTCAAAAGAAATTATTTTTTATTATTATTTGATGAACACATTTCAGAAATTAAGTCAATTTACTGACTGACTTTTTACAAACGAATTCTCACTGCCAGTAATTAGATCGTTTAGTTGCGAGAAAGAGATATGAATTTTTTTTTTTAATCAACGCTTCTTTCAATCGCAAAAAAGCTCCTACATAGTAAAAAAAATCTTTCTGTTTAATAAAACGTTTCTGCATTGATAAAATAAAATAGAATACAAAGAATAAAATCGATTCGTAATAAGACATTGTGATTTGGATCTAAAATTAACTTATCACACTCTATTTGCAGTTGGTTGTTTGAAATTGATTGAAGGTTTTGAGAAAAGTGGTGATTTTAATACTTTTATTCTTACTTCCTTTTTCTTAGAAAAAAAATTTTTAATGCAACAAAAAATATACATCACATGGGTGGGTTTCTAAATGATTACTAAAAATTAACACCATAAAAACTTATATTTTAATTTTCGGGCTTAAAGGGAACTTAACGAGGTTTATTTATTTATAAATTAATTTATTGGTATTGTTAAATATTGAACAACAGACCTAGTGTAACCAGGTATTCATGGCAATAAATATAACTTTTACACTCATACACTAATTTATGTCAGTGGAGCATATGAAAGGTATTTGGTACTGTGAATAACTGTGTCTTAAATTTCCATAATTTAGTCACAAACGATTCTAGTCAAATAGTAAGATGTACAGTACAGTCAAATAAGAGACAAAGTCATTACTTTTACTTTTTATCTGTAAGCATTTTATATTTAACATGATAAATATATGTATACGTAAGCTTTACTCGGACTTCCCTATAAGCATTTCGGTAAAAAGCAAATTAAAATAAAATTGTGTTTTACATATGCTAGGTAGAAATCACTTCTTTGCAACAAAAACTTGAAAAATGTCCAATTTCTGTTCTAACACAAAATTATTACAAGTTATGATATCTGTATACATCCTGTTACCGTAGGAATTGTACCCACACCAATAAACACATTCCAAAACTCGAAGTAAAGCAACTAGATTTTTTTTTTCCGTGACATTAATTATTCAAAGTACTGTAAAAGATTTTGACAAACAAATGAGTTAAATCTCACCAGTCAAATAAATTCTCTGTAAATGTGAAACAGTTGTCAAAAATCATTCAATAACGGATGGCTTCAAAGTCTTACTGAAAACTAGAACTTCCAATTCTCCTGAAAATATGTTTATCCCTTAAAGCTTAAATATCGTAAGAATTAAGTTACCTATTATCCCCAACAAAAATTTTCTTTTCGTATTTTAAGTACTACCAAATACTGCAAACATGATTAAATTAGTTTCCATACAGTGGGTGTGTCTGCATGTGTTTACAAGCTGCTCATTTTATATAAAACAATCTGTAAAAAAATCTGTTTCTCATAAACTCACTTACATACGTCAAGCTTCAGATCAATACATCGCTTGAACACTCATAAAAATAATAGCAGAGGAAAGACAAAACAGACAAAAAAATATCCAAAACTTGCGGTTGTAGGGGAAAAAAGGCACTCGGTACTCTCGGTACTCTCGGTAGAGAGTTTGAGTTGATTGCCCGTGATATTAAAAGGGTAGGAGCGAAAGTAGC